CAGAGATTAGACTGTCTCATGAAAAAAAAGTTATTGTAACTAAAACTTCCTGAATACTGTCTATGCACTGCAGCAAATAAAGGCAAGAGTATTAAGTTAGTGTAAACATTAGTGGAACCATGAAGGAAGCTTGACAAAGCCTCTACTGGTACACTTTGGGCACTGAATAGATGCACACACACTGAAGCTAAATGCGGTGTCACTCCTGGAAAATGCAAGGTCTTGAGATGAGATTTTATATCTAAACTTTTTTAAAACAAACATTCATGCATGAGATGCTGCATAAAGCAGCAAAACGTCTCGCAAACACTTCGATCTAATATGCATACATTGAAAACCAATGAAAAGTACTGCAATGCAATGCAGTAACAACCCACTAGGGCTTCTGAGCCCCCTGGAAAGTATATTAGCTTGGGCCCCCAGAATTCGTAATCGCGTTCCAGGGAGGGGCAGTACAAATTGCTTTTCCATCCCATAGGGAGAAATCATGATCATGTCCAGCCCCTTTTCTGTACTAATTTTTAGGGCATTTGGCTGTGTAATCCACTGTTGACAGATGAGAAAGTGCGAACATTGATTTAGCACCCTCCAAAAGTGCTCAAATGCGTTCTGATTGGCTAAACAAAGAATCTGACAGCAGCCCATGGCTGTGTTTTATTTTACCATTGAGTCATGCTGTCACAAAGATCGACAAAATATCTCAGTTATATCAGTAATACCTCAAAGCAAGTAGGATCGGGCCACTTCACTCCCTGTTCCTTCCCTGCCTAACCGATTTCTTCCAAGGGCCCCCCTCCCCAGAACACAATTTCGCAATTTAAAAAATTATGATTGTTATTAATATGTCAACCATTGCAATTTCAGAAGTGGTTCTCCATGCATATATATATATATATATATATATATATAAAGGGACCATCGGGTGCAAAATTCACTTTTACATGGTGTTTGCATATAAATGTGTCTTAGCAGTGTGTGGACACAACTACCCTACAATAATAAAAATCCGTTCACTCCTTTTTTTAAATCCCCAAAAAAACTAAAAGCAGTTTTGATTTTCTGAGCAGTATGATGCCATACTGCTCAAGCCCCGCCCATGACCACTGACGGACTGTCCCGTATTAGCATATTTCCGCACTCAGCAATGTTAGCAGACATACGATAATTATCGTATTTGTATGACAGTTTTGACCTCGATTAATAATGAAAAAATCCCATAATGTACGATAATTTCAGAATTTTGTGACACTCAAATGATAATCGCTGTAATCATAGGGCTTCTATACTCATTGGTCTAGCTGTGGATCCTACGTCTACCGTCATGATTGTGAGAACTCGAACATGGTGTTACGCATGTCTTCCATCTCATCTCACGTTACGTCTTCTCGGCCAATCATGGTGGAGAATGACTCTCTCTCACGAGCACAAGTTAATGTTAATGTTCCTATTGCGCTTAGGTCAGTTGTGTCCAAGCTGAGGTCGATAGTTTAGCAATAAAGTATAGAAAATGATGTTGGTCTATTTAAATAGCTGTATTCTGTATGTTTGACTCGTGTATGATAATTTTCTTCTAAATATGATAAATTTGAGCTTCTGATATGATACTTTTGACATTTCTAATCTAGCAACACTGGCACTTAGTTAGATGTACGCTCTATGCCATTTTCTCCACGCTGAAGCAGATTTAGCATCAACAATGTCTCGTAAGCAATGCAGGTGTTTTGTAGTTGGATGTAAAAATGAACATAATATTCTTCATTTTCTCCCAACATCAGAGCCACAGAAGACTCAGTAGATTAGTTTTGTTTTTGATGGCAAAGCGCCACCGAATACACATAAAACAAGAGAGGGGCGGGGTGAGCAGGAGCTCATTATCATTTAAAGAGACATGCACCAAAACGGCTCGCTGTGAACAGAGCTGTTTTTGACAGGGTAAAAAGGGTGTTGTTTTACTCAACCATTAAGGAATTTTAACCAAAGTATGTTTGCAGAGATTTCATGAAGAGCCTAAAGAATCATACTGACTTGTAGATTTTACTTCCTTATTTACATATTGTCACTGCCATAATTTTCCAGTGTGAACGTAGGCACAATATTACTGTAACATTTTGCAAATGTGTCAAAATTTGTTTTCCACAGATGACGGGGAAGCAATTGTGTCTGTGAGCTCCTCTAGACCGTTGACCTTTTCGTATGAGATGAGGCAGCGGGATCCCGAGACAGGAGCTCTAAAGCAGGAGGAGGTTGACAGCTCCTGTGGTCTCCTGTCAGTGACTCGTCAAGGGATGAAGTTGCGATTACTGCCCCCAGAGCCTGGGGCCTACGAGGTGAAACTGTTCGCCCGGCGAGAGGGTGAACCTGGTGCTCTGCGATGGATTTGCTCTCTTGAACTGGAGTGCCCGAGTATCCAGAAGAGGCAGGCCATGCCTGATAACCCATACTTGAACTGGGGCCTAGTGGCAGGGGCATCGGCACTAGGTGTCAAGGGCTGCAACTTTGCAGGAGAAGAGGCCGTAGAGGTGGATGAAGGTGGCGAGTGCAAGGTTATCCTACACACATCACGACCCCTGATGATGGTGTGCGAGCTCACGCACCACGAGCTCGAAGCCACCACAGCCAAGCGCTGCCTTGCATCGCAGATCACAGCAGAGCAGCTGGTGTGTAACGTCATGTGCCCGTACAAAGGATTTTACAGGCTGTCTATATTTGTGCAGGATTACGACAGCGGAAGTGGGACTTTTCAAAATGCTGGGAACTACCTGCTGCACTCTCAAAGCCCAGGGTTGAACCCAAACGCTCTGTATCCTCCAGACTTGGGCCTGTGGTGTGGTCCCGGGGTGCGAACCCAAGAAGCCGGACTGTCCCATTTCAGCCACACAGGGGCGATAGTAAACACACCCCAGGGCCGGTGCAACATTACCTTCCACTGCGCTTCACCAGAGCTGCAAATACACACGGCGCTCTGCGCTGAGCTGCATGAGCAGGCTCATTTTCCTCTGTCCCGATATGTACTCTTGACATTTACAGATACTAAGGTAACCGTGAGTGTGTGCTCACCGAGAGCGGGAGTCTATCGTCTTGGTATTTATGGACGTAAACCCCCTCAGCAGGACTACATGTCACTGTGTGAATTTATAATCAGGAGTGTGTGTGAAAAGCCCGGAGATCCGTTTCCATGTGTGTATTCAGCGTGGGGAAGAGGGTGTGTGCTGCTGGAGCCCCGCACAGGTGTGCTGGCTCCACAAAGTTCAGTGAGTTTTCGCGTGCGGGTACCAGGTGCGCAAAGAGTGTGTGTGGTGGGAGAGAAAAGAACCGATCTGAAGATGAATAAGAGCAGAGTTTGGGAAGGTGAGGCTGTCACCGGAAATGCCACGCAACTCAAGCTCGCTGCTGTCACTAAAGAAAGCAATGACATGCATGTTCTCATGACCTTTGACGTCCTTAACCTGAAGAATGAACTGTGAACAGAACAGACTGTTGTCTAGAGGACAAAAGGGCTACGGTCACACTGCAGTTCAATATGGTCCAACAGATTTTTTCAGTCAACACATGCAACAGATTTTTTTGATGATAGTGTGAACCTGGAAGATTTGGTTATCCTTCATATTTAGAAATAAATCAGAAATAAATCTGTTGTTTACCAAAACTGAAACAAATGGTAAAGATATGAAAACATTTACAACAAAATATATGAACATGAGAAGATAAACTTTGTAAAATAATTAGAGAACAAATCTTTTATTTTATTATTTTTTTAATTAAAGATTTTTTCTTAAATTTAATTAGGTTTTATGCCCGAAAGAAAACAACTTTGTTATTGAAATATGAAGAATAAACTTACAGTAATTTGATGCATGAATAAAAAAATATGAGCATCTATAGTTTATTTGATCAAATATTTATTGCAACAAGCCTGGTTATAGCTGGCATTTCAGAGCAGTTTATGACCGACATTTAAAAGAATATTTAAACATTTTTAATTTTTCAATATTTTCATCACAGGAATAACTTACATTTTAAAATGTTTAAATACAAAAAAATAGATTTGTAATAATATTAATGTTTATATTAATATTCACAATATTAATGTGTTACTGTATTTTTTGATCAAATGCACCCATGGTGAGCATAAGAGACTTTTGCCAAAAACACGTGGATCATGTTTGATCAGAAGTGAAATTGGGCAGTTTGTCTTGCGGTGTAAGCGTAGCCTAAAAGAGGAGCAAAGAACAGGACAAAAGCATATGTAAGATCTCCAGGTCAAAGTGTGATAGTCCACACAGTTTCAAAATAAGCTGTTTCTTAATGACATTTATGTCACTGTATGCATGTGTGTGTGTGTGTGTGTGTGTGAATTGTGAACGTTATATTTGCATGGTGACACAAAGAGTCTGCATACTCAACTGCTCTTAGGTTCTGCAAGTATCAGGGACATAAAGTGACTACCAGATAAAAGGGATCTCTGGCCTCAGTGTGTATGCAACAGAAAGGACTATTACTCTCCATCCTATACATCAGTCCCTGGAAGTGATCAAAAGACAGAGATGACCAAACAACTGCACCACAACATGGTGCTGCATAATGTTAGCAATACCAAGGTCATGGGTTTGATTCCCAGGGAATGCATGCATTAGCTTGAATGCAATGTACTGTAAGTCACTTTGGATAAAACTATCTGCCAAATTCATAGATGTAAATGTTTAATCTTACACTGCAATTCTTGTATAACGATTTAAGATTTAAATTGTTGTATAAATGTAATAAATAAAAATGCTTAATGCTGGAAAAGGAGGAGCCATGGGAGTCTTTAGTAAGGTTTACATGATGCAGTCATAACAGTGTATCAGAAATGAAACCTTGAACTCGTCCCACTGGCCAGTGAAAAACAATGGCTGCTATGTGTGCAAAGGGTGGGTACCGTCTCCAGGGAGAGATGAAGGGAGCCTGATGTAAGTTGAAAGAAATGTGGGTATTGTATCTGCTAGAGGGTGAGCAAGCACAGCACATTCATCCACAACACTAAATGCACTAAATGTAGGCCGGTTGTGATGGACGTTTGAAATAAAACTTGAATGCTGGTGTTGCCAACTCTACTACATACCTGAGAACACAAGACACGTGCTGTCTGAATATTCAGCCTCTGGTTGGTTATTAAAACAACAATCAGATTTAGGGGCTGGACAAGATAAAAAGTTTTGGTCGTGAACAAGCCTTCAGTGACCACTGAAAGTCAGAATATTTATCTATAATAGTAAGAGTTTGCCACCAAAGGCAATGTTATGACTAAAAAAGTGCTTTTCTTTAAAAGTTTGACCTTTTGGAAAACCCAGGCCGGTTTGCGTTCAGCAAAACAAAACGACATAAATCTATCCCTCCTATCTAAATAGCATTGCAGCCGCAAATTAAAAATTATTCTTGACATATTCATGTCATAAACCTTTCCACCAAACTCCGTTTTATTCCTCTAACCTCAGCTCCACGAGCACAGTTGTGCGGGCCAGAGGGGGTTCACATAATACCAGGAACTGCCTCTGGAGGGCCTCACTAGAGTCCTCTGCGATGAGGAGCAAAAGACAGATTCATAGTTCTCATCTCTTGACAAAAAGCCCAAATTTCTTGAGTTTTACACGGTGGCCCTCCAGTGCCGTTCTGTTACTCGGCAGACCCTTACTGGCCCTTTACACTTACATAGATAAACAACTCTTCATATCCTTTCACCAACACTGGCGCTTGGCTCTGCCCGGGGATGCCCCTGCTCTCTGCCAAGACTCTGCAGCGGCAGCCAAATATCTCTCACAGGAGAGAATCTGCTTCGCCTGAGGAATACTATCATCTGGCTCCAATTGAATTGATTTCACAGCATTAGAAAAATAGAATTTGCAAAGATAAATCACCTTTTTTCCAATATGAAAAATAGATTGAACTCTTGCGATTTCTTTCTTGGTTGCTCCAGTTTGGTGAAAGGCATTTCAGTTAGCTTAAATAGAACTCGATAAGACATCTTAACACATGTGGATAGTATGTGCTAAAAATGGCCGCTACTTTGAACTACACATTATATAAGTGTTACGTAGCCCTGTACCCATTAAGGACAGCTGCTGTGTAGAACCCGACTAATAGTGACACCACCAGCTAAATGAGCGGTGTGTGTGTGTGGCACATCGGTGATTGCGTTTCAGCACTCGTGAAGTGACTGGTTACCTCTGAGGCTCTGTCACCTATTAGTGAGTAGTCGGTTTGTCTTTGCTTGTCGGATCTACATCTCAGCAACGTCCTTTCAGAGTTTATTCACAACAGGGCGGCCTTGAGTAAAACTGCACTTGCATACTGACAAGGTACAGAAGTGTCAAGAGACATAAAGGCAAAGTTACCATATTAGAAATCTCTAAAGGAACACTAAAAAGGCCCATAGCAACATTAGCACTATGTAGCTCATAAATCTCCACAGTAAAGAGTGAATATGGCTTGGTGAAAGAACTGCTAACCATGTAGTGTATTAACACCGGTACAGTATATTGCAGCACAGAGGAGACCAGCAGTGTCTGGGTTTCTTTGGAAGTGCATCCCTTTAGTAGCGCTGTAATTGTTTCAAAACAATACTTTTAAGGCTCGTCTTATAGACAAAAGTTCAAATGTTCAAGTTCAAAAGACACTGCTGCTCTCCTGCTGTGTGTGATTAGTCCAAGTAAACATGCATAGAATGACACACACCCCAAGATAGATTTAAAATACGACCGTAATACCGAACGGTACGGATCTAATACAGTACAGGGGTGATATAAGCACACTAATTCTGCTTCTGCCATGCTTTTGTACCAGCACACGCTCGGCAAGCATGGGTTTAACACACCAATCCGATCCCTGGTGCTACAAACGAAGCCAACACGTCAATCTGACTGAAGTCAATAAAAACTTCTAATAATAAACCCTCCATCATACCCTGATTCCCTAACCCTCTCGAAATGGGGTTACTTGAAGCACCGTTAATGACTTTGGAATGGCTGACAAGAGAACTGCAGCACATGAGAGATCCTCAGCCCTGATCCACACAGCGGGGGTCGATAGATTGACAGAGGCTGACTGAGGGCAGGTGCAGTGCACCTGCTTTTCCAGATGCACACGGCTGGAAATTAGCCTTCTGTTTGATCACTTTCAGCCTCACTGACAACCTTCATTACGATTCAGCTCAATATGTCTGCTAGGCACTGGAATTACAGTAGAACAACCTTCACTGCAGGGAGCCTCAGCACTAAAGTATGTACACAGCGGAGAGAGTAATGATCTGGGCATCCCTTGAAGCCTATATATAAGCCTAGACTTTCTGTTTACCTTCTATTTTATAATACAGAGAAAATATTGTTCTTTACAGGAATGTTTTGACACATCTGAGGCTTTAGCAGTGCTGTTTTACACAACAGCGTTTCAGCTTTCTCAGGGCGCTGGTACTATTTACAGTCATGGTATGTTGGGCAAAGGATCTCTCATTAGGCTGTGATATTTCTTCCTGGCTGTGAGCTAAATCCTCCCCATCTCTCAACAGCAAATCCCTCATTCTAACATGTGAAATGGACGGTTTTGAGCGGGTAACTGGATAGTGGACATTAGTGATTGTAAAGTGACCCTCCCCTCCCTTTTCCCGGAAAGTGAATTTGTCATATGAGAGGATTAGGGGTCGAAGAGGTCAACGTGAGGCTGCAGGTCCACCTTTCTGTTGAAGTGTTCAATCTCTTCATTGGCCTCCTGCACGTATTCATCAATGAACTGATCCATCACTGAACACACACATGTAAGGAATCAACAACAAGCGGATCACACAAACACATCGGTTCTGACAAGCACACAGTAATATTCAATACTGTCAATATTCAATATTATTTTTAATGCTGTTGATTACAACTGAGAATAATTTTAAATGATGCCTCATGAGTGTGTATAAATGCATTTACAGTAATACACTTTTAATGAAAGCTTAGCTGTGCAAATGTGCTGCTTTTCAACGCTCCTGATCAAACATTAAGCCTACTTATCGGATTAATAAAAGTAAACATCACCTTCCTGTTTGTTTATACACACATTGGGACAAGTTGAAATTACTGTTTATGGTAATCAACAGCATGCTACTGTTGCAGTGCAGACATTAGGTTAAAAGTACACTACTATTCAAAAATGTGGTTGGTAAGTTTTACATGGTTTTAATGGAAGTCTCTTATGCTCAGTAAGGTTGCATTTATTTGATCAAAAATACAGTAAAAAAAAAAGTTTTTTATTTTAATACGTAATTTATTCCTGAATTTTCAGCATCACTACCCCAGTCTTCAGTGTCACAATGTCTTTCAGAAATCATTTCAAATCATCATATTAGACAGTATTAATTTGAAATAGAAATATTTAGTAATATTATCTTTAATGTCACTTTTGATTAATTCTAATGCATCCTTGCTAGGGTTGGGTATCACTTGAATTTTATCAATTCCAATTCTTATCGATTCTCAGTTTCGATTCCAATGTAGTTAAAAAAAAAAAGTAATTTAAAAACATTTAGAAATCAGACATATTTATTCTGGGTCTCTTTTAGCTAAACATTTAATTGCTGCCGAATACCATAAACAAAAATCAGCCAGCTACATAAAAACTGGACTTGATTAAGAGCCGTGTAAACCACATGTTTAACCACCACATCTGGTTAAAAAGTTAAACTACACTTTAAAGATACGAGGATGGAAGTTTTGCTTTTCTCCAAAGAAACTGACGAAGTGATGACCATTGTAGAAGTAACCGGGAGGGAGAGGATCAAGGTGTCTTTTCACCTAAAGACACATAAGATGAAAATATTTAGATCAAATATTTGCTTTGGTGCTAAATTAATGAAAATATGTGTGAGCGCAAGGGTGTCGGTACTCACATGAATGTATCTGATCTCCTGTGGGGTGAGCGTCCTCTTATTCTTCTTGATTTTTTTTGCAACTTTCTGTGAAACACAAAAACACTGACATGTTTAAGCATAATGTTTATGATTTCATAAAAATGTCCTTCTCTTATATGCAGGAGTCTGCGCCCACAGAAGTCTGCAGAATTGCGTGTAGTTCATAAAATTGTTTAAGTATTTTGGGTTACATGATAATGCTTTCGGCTACCAATATGTTGTTGCTCCCAGCACACATTTTACTATGCTTAAATTAATGTTTATTCCTCCCACAAAATTAGGGAAGAAAATATGGAAGAAGTCTGTAGATTCCACCTGCTCCCACCTATGAGAATTTACCTGTTTGGCACAATGCCGAAGCCAGTCTTTCAGCCCCTCTTGGGTGAGCCCCACTCCGTGAAACATTAGATAACAGTTGTTTGTTGTCCGTGGGCCATGGTGAGTCCCCTGATCAGGGGCAATGGTCACATTCCCACTGATAGAGTTACAGTTTACCACCATCTGTCTGTCATTGTCTACAGTGAAAACAGACACCGCATGCAGTCAGATACACACACACACACATTTCACTGAGTCCAACATGCTGCACACTAATTTATCAAACATGTCATCAGACGGAGCTATGTCTAGCATGGCGTGCCAACAGCCATCCATCCCATCAATCACTCCTCTGCAGTGTGGACTACGACTCTCCACTCTACAAGCAAGCAAGGAGTCAAACTTGAAAACAACTGATCACAATGCACTGAATGTTACGAAAAAAATCAACTTACAGTATCTGAAAGCAAATCACACACCAAACCGAACATAGGCACCAAAAATCAAAAGATTTCCATAACAAAACACAGATGATTCATGGTGATAACTAGGCATCACAGATGGTGTTCGGACCGTGTGGGTCCTAAATGAACTACACTATCTAGCGTGCTGTTTCTCAGGCACTATTAAATCACTCAGTTCTCTCCATTCTGTCAATTTACCCACTCTCTCCATGCAACTCCACCACAGATTCAAAGGAACAGAGGACAGTCAAAAACCCTCCAAAAAAATGTGACCACAGGAGGAAACGACTGAGAAAAAAGGAGTGAAAACAGATGTGTGCAGGCCACATCACTTTGAGGAACCAGAGGTGAGAGTCCTACCGTATGGCGTTACCCCACAGGCCCCCTGCCTACTACTTCTCATGGAAAAATCATACATTAACTACACAGACAAAACCAAAGCAATAGACATCCTAGAATCAAACAATACACGTTTATCCACAATCATAACTGATTTGTGACTATGTCACGCTGTATAAAGCCATAAAAAAAATTCATATTAAGACAGATTTGAGGGAGGTTATGGAGACCGACTGCCCTACCAGAGAACAGCACTTTCCCACTGATGTGATAGATGTTTCCTGTGAAAGAGCTGGGTTTGAGAGAGGATTTCAGAGCTAAGAAAAGAAAGGAGACAGAGAGACTTGTGAGTTGTGTTGACAGTTTCACTTACTTTTGACAGTTCCATTTTTAGCACATGATTGTACAGCATCCTTACATATACTGTCAGCAATCACTTTATAATTAAACCCTCTTGAATATTTATTATTGATGATTAGGCCTCTCACAATTATTACATAATCACCTGATCACAATTATTTGATCAGATTGCTTTGATTTAAAAAGACCTCAAACATTCTGCATGTCACAATCATATAGTGGCATCAAAATACAGTAAATATGCCATTAAATGCACATGTTGTGCCTCTTTTTAAAGCATTTGTGCATTACGCAAAATTCAGATCATCTCAGGAGGTGGTGTTCTCATCTCAATTCAACTGACCCTATATACTTTCTTAATCTTTAATTAAAACATATTTTAACAGAACCATAAAGGAGTTTTTTTTGTGCAACATAAAGGTTTGAGAGTTTTATCCAGACCACCTTACAATGCCATGTGAATAATTTAGAATGGAAATATTGATACTAAAAAAACATTTTTATTACTCTTCATGTCATTCTACTCTGTGCCAGTGTTATTTATATATTACTATAGTATTTAATACAATTTTGAATTAGCCATTATTTCCAAATATTTAGCAATTAAACATATTTCAGATAGTTGCTAATGCAACATTTGTAATTTTCATTTTTATTTCGTAAAATAAATATTTTTATTATTTAAAATATTTTATTAAAATATTTTGCAGCTTTGTTTGTTTTTTTGCAAAGCCTAAAATAATTTTTTTTTAATAAGACAATTAATTAAAAAAATTGTCATGATTGTGACAGTCTTATGGATGATGATAAATACACACAAACAGATGTTTACCTTTGCAGCGCTGCAGAAATAATGCTTTTTCCAATGGACGACTGAACTCAATGCAATGCGGAGACATAGACAGTGATCCACTTCCAGAAACAAACCTGCCTTCCCACCTGAAACAATACACAGTATAGTTCAATATAGTTAAACATACACCTGTGTATACACACACATGTAGAGAACGAAAACATTACCAGCCAGGATACAGCAGGTATCGTGCATTGATCATACGAGTCTGTGAGAAACTGCTGTCATTCAGAATAAGCCGTATATCTTCAGTCCTACAATACAAAAAATTAATATTAAAATATTAAAATTAAGTGAGTGTGTATGTCAGAGAAAATATCAATGTACAAACCTTCTAACTGCCCATTTCTCTGCTGAAATAAATGCAGTGCTGGGATTGGATGCACGGATCAGCTGCTGCATGTGTTTGAGAAGTGGGTGCTTCTGCTCGGTAGTTAAACCCGTGAAGATAACATTGCTGACGACGCCTGAAAGAGAAGCTCATCTAAGAAATAATTTTATCCAAAGCCACTTACAGTGCACTTATTACAGGGGCAATTCCCCTAGAGCACTGAGGTTAAATGAGGCTGCTTTAATTAAGGGCACACTGGTGATGTCTCACTGTCTTCATATACTCAGTATACTTTGATTGATATTGTTCATATCAGATGGAAATGATCAGGGACTTTGTTAAAAATAATGCTGGTTTCTAACCATGGGATTCTTCAGAGGGATACGCAGATACAGAAAGTTGCTGAACACCAATTAAGCACTGTTGATATGTAAATGTGGTTAGTTTCTGACAAATTTTAGTTTTTAAAATGCACTTTATCGAAGCAAGGGGAGTTATGGTAGAAAATTATGGTAGGTTTCATAGTGTCATAGTACAAAGAACTTTCAATCTCCAAAGATCTAGGAAAATCTGATTTCACACGATACGACCCCACAACAGCGACAGATCTGATAATCTATTCTGCAACATTCACACACATGCACCATACAGAGAGAAACTCACCCTGACTGCACTGCTCCAGGAGTTTGGGGAAGAGAAGCCTGTAAAGAGCAGTTTCAGAGAGCTTCAGAGACGACATCAAACAAGGGAAATTACAGCGTGTTAACAGGCCCTTTAGACACTTACATTATAATTACATAATGACATATAATTCTTATTACAGCATTTACAATCTGAATTACAAGTGTTCGTCTGGAAAAGAAGGTGTGATAAATGTCATGTGGAAAAACTCTTGCCTGTGTTTGATGAAGGATGTGAGTGGGTTGACACATGCTGAGACGGCACCCACTGTCACTTGGCTGTGAACTTGTGGGTCTGGATGAGCCGTGATTGCCTGGATTACATCTAGCACATCGGTGTACCTACAACACATACAGTAAGCATAAAAACTTCATTTAATTGATTCTTGTATGTGATGGCTATGTCTCAGAACAGTCAAGTCCAGTCAGCTTTATTTTATACAATACAGACTGATTGTTTCCTAACAGCTTCATAGCAACAACAGCATCAATGATGCAAACTTTATTAAATATATGACCAATTTAAATTCTCTTGTAAAGCAGCTCTAATATGACAATAGTGTCAATATTCAGCTCAGTCAGTTTAATGTTGATTCAGTTCAAAAACTGCAAAGCTCATTAATTCTGAAAACAGTTCAATTCAGCTATAAGCAGCTCTAAAGAGACAACATATTGTTATTCGCCTCAAGTCCATCAATGCTGTAAAATTCATCAGTAGTGAGCAGCTGAAATAAACATGATCCTCAAGGTTTTGAGACTCAATGTTCATGTCTGTCTTACCCTGGTATAAGCAGCACAACTCTGGTTGAATTCAAATCCGTCTCCCTCTGTTTGGTCAGAAGGCTGCTCAGGAACCGCTGAAGGTGTGACGCACTGAATTCCTCAGAGCCCTCCAGAGCAGGGCAAAACACCTCCCACCTGTCAATCAAACAGTACTCAGTTTTGGAGTGTAAGGATAAAAAGACAGTAATGAGCACGCTAGCATTCAAGATGCTTTCCATTGAACTCAGAAAGTCAGAATTTCCAACCTTCTATTTAGATAAATGCAGTAGAACACATTCCAAATTACCATTTGGTTTTAATGTTCTTCCAATAGCAGTACAGCAAAAATCATTATGGTCAGAAGTCAGAAATCTGCCACATCCAATATTAAATGTAAGACAATGTGACTGTTGTAATGAGCATAGATAAAGTTCATGGCATTTTGATTATTCTCTCACCTGGCGCTATTTTGATTCACTTCCATCAAGAAATCACACAGATTCTCCTTATGACTGCCTGGCAAGCCTGCAATGATAGTGAGGACCACCTACACACACAAACACATTTATCTATTATTATTCATATGCTCTGTTTCCTCCAGCATGACTTGTCAGATTATGTATGACTGTGTTGTATTTATACACATGCATTTCACCTTTATCTTGGATTCAGGTTTGATGTTTTCAGGTGCTGTGTTTGAAAACACAGTAGACAAGTGGTCGCTACAGACAGATTCTTCACCCACGCTACTGCTGATGGCAAAATGCTGAAGGAACCTGAGCAGAAAATTTGACAGACATCAATGTGCATGAGCAAAGCAACAAAGTCAGTGCAACCAATAAGACGATCGGAATATATGCTGTATATACAAGACAGTTTGTCGTCAATTTGTTGACTTTTCAGCACGATAGCACCATTTTCAATAGTGCTCATAATTTTGACAGATAGCTCAGAATTTTGACCTTACTGACAGATAGAAACCAAGCAACTGGCACAATGTCTTGTCAACTGCCTCTCATAGTCATAGCTGGTTAGGTCAAAAACTCAGATTAACAAGACAGAGACAGATTTATCGCTTGACATTCTGCCACATCATCCCTAGTTAGGACGGGGTGGAGGTGTGTATGTGTGTGTTACCTGTCCTGCTCTGGCAGCTGTGGATAAGCAGTCTTCAGAACAGTTCTGTGGCTGTTTGCCACTGGTGTATGTATCTCATGAAGCTTTAACAGCCTGAAGTACCTGAAAGGAAACACGTCATGGGATACATTTATGTGCTACATTATGATACCTCGGGGCTCAAGCACAATAAGATCTTAACAAATCAGGCTGAATGCTGTTGGCTGAGCTGATGCAGAATGAAGTGTTAACTCACATGCTCTTGTGCTCAGGGCTCAGCTGATCATTGAGGACGTGTTGCACTCTCAACCCAGAGTCTGACTTACGCCAAGCTGGCAGGACCTGCAAATCATATCACAACTCATTTACAACCAAACACTAAACAGAATACAACAACTCTGCAGGATGACAGAAACCTAAATGTTCCGCCTGCATATGTATGTGTGTGAGTGTGTGTGTGTATGTGAGCACCTGTGAATAGAAGCTTTTGTAGCTCTTGGTTCTGGGAAGCACAGCGATAGCCAGAGAGAAATCAGCACTGTGTAAAAGGAATGGAAGGTGCGGAAGCAGAGAGGTCTGATACTTGATGAACAGCATTGAAACATCAGACAGAGAGCCCTGTGAAAACAACATTGCATACAAAGCTTAATTGATGATATATACAGTACTGTTTAAAAGTTTTGGGTTAAAATATATTTATTTTGAAAACAAATCTTAGCCTCTTACACTCAACAAGGCACTTATCTCATCAAAAATATAGTACAATTGTGAAATATTTTTACAATTTAAAATAACTTTTATTTTAATATATATATATTTTTTAATGTAATTGATTCATGTGATGCAAAGCTGAATTTTCAGCAGCCATTAATTACAACTCCAGTCTTGAGTGTTGCATGATCCTTCAGAATTCATTCTAAAATGCTGATTTGGTACTCAAGAAATGTAATTATTATTTTTTATTATTCATTAATGCTCATAAGTTGTTCTGTTTAATGACAGCATTTATTTGAAACAAAAATGTACTGTAAAATTTTGACCAATTTAATACATCCCTATTGAATAAAAGTATTAATTCTTCTTCTTTTTTTTATCATTCTGACCACAAATATATCATGAATGAGAGCATTGCTCACCCCATTATAGAGCTTAATGGTGTTGATGTGACTCATAGAGAGTGTAATGGAGCCGTGACGAGGATGCACAAACAGGATACCCTCAGAGAAAAACACCAGTTTCCCTACAGGACAATAAACACATTAATGCATATGCACAAAGAGTACTTGAAACCATGACCTTCCAGTAGAGATGAAATCTGACCTTCCTCAGGTGTAGACAGCAGGCTGTTGGAGAACATGTAGGCAGAGTCTCTCACTGTTAGAGGAATGCCCAAACACGTACCATCCTCTTCCTGTTTTCACACACACACACAGGTTTTAAAGCATATATATATAACAGTTAATACAGCATGAGGGAGGAGGTTCAATGGTTTGTACAAACTACCGCATTGTAAAACTTCACCTTCAGCAGATGCTGAGCCTGTTCAGACATTCGCACATCAGCCTCATCTACCTATAACAAAGAAAACAACAAATCAATTAACTCATAATTGAACATAATTAATTAACAAAATAACATAATTAATTAATAAGAAATGCACATTTTGCACAACCAAACAATGAGTGCACTATACCAGCCAGCAGACATGGCGAGGAACTGATGAGGTGAGCACAGTGAAACAGCTGTCAGAGGAAAGAGCGCCATCTGCAGGAGAAGAGGTGCCTTACAATCTCACATGTACTATTTAGTATTAATTAGTACTCTATTAACCTCCAACTGAATACTCTCACAAAACGGATTTTTACCTCTCTGCTGAATGTAAACGCTGGCCTCTAGAAAGGACTCAGAGAAAACTACTGATCCCAGGTTTCCTCCACACTGGAGATCTGGGATATCGTGCACCATCATGGACGCCTGTGGAGTCAGCCATTTAATACAAGTTGCAGTAAAATGAAAAGCTGCAGCTGGGATGGAAAAATTTTATACTCACAGTTTTTACCATAAAGCGACTGTCCTCATCACTGAGGGGAATGATTCTGTGTAAAGGAAGATTGTTTCAAGTTATGAAATACAGAATGTGGAAAATGTACAATGCAGTATAATGTGTGAAGGGCAATAGCTGTGTCTGTGCTCAGAAACTCACGTTCCCTCATTGTTGACAGCCTGTATGCTAAACACAGCTTTGGATCTGAATTAAACAGACAAAGTAGATTATCAAATCACAAAGCATGCACAAAATGTGTCTTATGGTGAGACCTAAATATAACTTCACTTTTAATAACCACTTTCTAATAGCCAAGGCCCACAAGGAATCTGCAAGCTCAGAACCCCAGAGAAAGTTCGAGAGATTTCCACAGATTTGGAACGTTTGTCAGTTCTATACATTCTGTACCCCCTGTGTGTTTGTTTAATAAATATTGTTGCATAATTTGATCATACTTCACCTTTCTATGACATTGTTTAAATTCATTCCATAGAATTCACCCCTAAATCAGCTTAGAAAGAAAAAATATGCAGATTTCTTCTGGGCCCTTTCTGTGTGAATTGCATACCTGAGAGCTCCCCTGTACTGAATCAACCCAAAGTTGTCCAAGGCCAGCTGAAACGTTTGTTCGGCTACATCCTTTGCCTTGAAAAAAAAAACTTGTGCAGAGAAAGTTCACAAAAATGAAAATTCTGGCATTATTTATTCACCATAACGTCTGTCCAACTCTCTATACAGCTATTTTACATACAAGAACACTTAATAGTGATCAGGGGCACCAAGGACACCATAAAAGTAGTTTATATGACTCATTCACAACATTCCAAGTGTTCTGGAATCATGTGGTATATTTGTGTAAGGATTAGATTTAAATTTAAGTCGTTATTAACAAATAATCTTCTACACCAGAGTACTGAAATTTCATATGCAATCATGCACAGATTAAAAAAGGCCAAATGCCACGGGTTCTTGTTTGTACTGTAACTAGTGATGATGGGTGCTTTTGAAGCACTGATTCATGAAAATTCAAAACATTTACAAATCTGTTGTTTTCAAATCAGTGTTTCAAAGCATGTATCAAACTCCACAAGTCACATGAATTCACAAATTGAGGCTTTAATACGTAATACTGTTTTGAACCTTGGTTTCAAAGTGTTTCAAAATTCTGATGGTTGGCACTGATATAAAAGAGTGTTTAATAGTTTTTAATTATTTTGTGTTAGTAATGTAGGTTCAGTTTTAATTAAATAAATGTTAATACTTATGCATGTATAATACAAAAAGGAGGATGATAGTTATTCTTTGTTTGATACAGTTATTTATCAGTTTGGCATAACAAATGTTTATGAACACATTTATTGCTAAATCAAAACAAAAGAATGATACGTTTGCCCCCTCCTCCGCTGCTAACGTGCTGAGGTCGAAGGGAGAAGTCTCGTGCAATCCTCGAGCAATGCTATTCTCGGTTCAATTATTTTTTTATGCGAATAAAAAAAAAAAGGTTTTTACACAGCAATAAGGTTACAAGTTAAGAGTGGTTCCAGTTCTTAAGACTGATCCGCATTTATAAAATGTGTATATTAATCTTATAAATTAGGTTTATAAAAGAACATAAATAATGCAAATCCCACTTTCAACTGTTTTTTGACTGCTTATTTGACCAATTTACTTAACACGTTTCTGTTTGAAAATCTGTTCTAATTTTATAGCTCATTTAATACTGTGTTTTCACTGTGGTCATAAAGGTATGGACATGGTCAGTAACAATACTCAGGTATGCTGTGGCATTTAAACAATGCTCAGTTGGAACTAATAAGCCCAAAGTGTGCCAAGAAAATATCCCCAGCAGCCTAAACCATTGATACAAGGCTGGATGCATGCTTTCAGGTTTAAACCAAATTCTGACTTTACCATTCAAATGTCACAGCAGACATCGAATGTCATCAGACAAAGCAACCTTCTTCCAATTTTCTGTTGTCCAATTTTGGTGAGCTCATGTGAACTTTAGCCTCAGTTTTCTGTTGTTAGCTTTTTCAGTCTTCTGTTGTTCAACTTTGGTGTGTGAGTGTGTTTATACAAAACCTGCTCTAAAATACTGCAAATATATGTGTTGCAGTATTTATGTAATACAGTGTGTATGTATTTTTTAAATACATTAAAAAAATGTAAAGTGTGTTTTTGGACATTTTTATTCAGAATACAAAAGTGGACAAATACTTAAATTATCTTCGTATAAATAATTTCTAAACAAGAACAACTTTAGCTGAACTTGCCAAAAAAAAAGGACATGTGCAACATTATTATGTAAGTACTGTTTAATTTCTATGTTCACTTCCGATAAACACAATTCTTGTGGACCCATTTCCAGAGGACTGGACATACTTCATCTCTACTCTTACTGGAAGAAGGGAAGACAAGAACCAGAGCCAGCAGGAGGAGTATGATATATGTTACAAAATGAGGTAAATGTATTAAACTGCAGATAAGGGTGCTTATAGAAATACATGACAGAGTAAGGTTCTTTTAAATTATTGACAGTTTTTTTTAATATATATCCATAAAATAAATTGTTGTGAAGAAAAAGAGGGGAGAGAGCTAAAGGTCCTGCATGTTTTGGAGAGGATGCAGTAATATTGCTTGTTGTCCTGTCAATAAAAGCTGGTTATCAAGAATTTATCAAGAAGTCTTCCTGAACTGAAAGAACTGGAACATGTTGGGCAGGCATTTGGCCAGGAGTTTACAGAGAATGTTTTCCTTTTCATCCATTGTAACCACAATAGAAATCTATTGAATCTAAAGAATATATGTGTCCAACAGCCATGACGGCCTGCTGGAAACAATGGAAATTTCCTGAACACTGCTAATTATAAACAGGTTGAGGAGTTATTATCTGGTATCCAAAATGCTTGCAGCCTCATACAGTTATAGGGGTTTTGCAACACCAAAAACAGAAAAATACTCTTCTCAAAAGACCTGACATGGGCTATTTAAGTTAGAGATAGCAGACATTGCGACAACGATGTGGGTTGACAGGTCTGTTTAATACTGTTTTGTGGATAGATTCCGTTAGCACCAGCTAGTACTGGCATGTCATCAGTGTTGGGGTGTAACTAGTTACATGTAACGGTGTTACGTAATTTAATTACAAAATAAATGTAACTGTAATCAGTTACAGTTACTAAGAAATTTTTTTTTCATTAAATTACAGTTACTTATGAAAATGTTAACGACTACAAAGGGGATTACATTTGAATATTTATACACATCCACATACAGATTTAATTGATTTCTTTCCCAAATTGCACTGACTACTCTGAGACATATGGCCCTATAATTTCCGCGGTGCGTAAAACACAGGCTGTGTCCGAAATCGCCCCTGCTTAGGGGGAGCTAGGGCAGAAAACAACACAACCCTTACGAAAATTAACGATGATTTTACTGTAAATCCAAAGACAATGGTTACTATTTTTAAACCATGGTAACCACAAATTAACCATGGTTTTTGCTACACTAACCATAGTTTAACCATGGAATTTGTATTAAAAATAAATACAAATGGTAATCCATTTGCCAAAAAAAACATGGTTACTGTACTTTTACTATAATAAAAACATGGTTAATTTTTGTAAGGGAAAAACATGACTCATGTTCAGTATTAGGATTTTTCTATAAAGATATTGTAGTGATGTACTAATTTTGACATGTAGGCAGTTCAGAAAGTATAGTTTTGTTAAATCTTGAGTATAAGTCATGAGAGAGATAGATATTAGGGCAAAATAAAGAGACTGAAAATTAAAATGGAATTGAAGGTACAGTTCAGGAGAGAACTTTTAATTATTTAGCATGTCCCCAGCCTAAGGATTTAAACCTTTTTTATGTGAGGTCCATACAAAAAATAGGGTTGTCCATGTTTCAGAATTTGTTGTGGGTGTATATGAGTGTAAAAAAAAAATCTCATGGAAATTAATGGCGCAGACATGCGGTTTCATTTACTACACATAGGCCTACTGAAGTTCGCGGTGTTTTCAGCCTCTGCTGCCTCAATATATGAGTACATGAACAAATAAACATAATATCTAGAACTGCTCTGAGTCACTTCATGAGCATTTTACATATTTTGAGAAAACTATCATCATATCATTTACAAAGAGACACCAATGTTTCAGGAGTTTAGTACACAGAATAGGACACATGCTTATTAGATAACTGTGTTTGAGTTGATGTATATGCTTTTATTTATTATTATTTTTTTATTAACTATTTTTTCCCCAAACCATTGTTCGATGCAGTGTTTCCTGTAGTTATGCAAAGATTTGGTTTCAAAAAAGTTAACTATTTCTTATGATTTTAAATCTGCATTGAACTTCAGATCAATCTCAAAGTAAAAGGCAGTACTAAAGTCTGATTTTGTGGTGGATGTGTTCAAATTTGACCATCTTAATTCAAGTGATGAAGGATTTTGAAAGTCTGAGCTCTGCTGTAAGGTTAACCCTGTATGGTGTAAATGTTTGAAAATTATTAACAGTTACAAATAAACATTCATTAGAAATTTAGAAAATGTATCAAAAAGTAATCAAAAGTAATCAGTTACATTACTTTAATAAAGTAATCGAAAAAGTTACACTACTATTACATTTTAAATAGGGTAACTTGTGATCTGTAACCTATTACATTTCCAAAGTAACTTTCCCAACACTGCATGTCATATATAAACAACACTGTGTTTCATATCTCAGATTTAATGAAGCACTTAAAAAGTCTTACATAACACAGTAAGCAGTTTATCATTGCAACATATTAGACTCAAATCCACAAAAGCATAACATCATGCTGTTGAACTGTCAGAACATGTGGAAATATTTTATTTATCTATCAGTCACACAGATCACTGCTCTTATCAGCTTGTGCTAGTGAGTCTCATTGCAAATATGTATTTTACTTCCTCCTAAAATTATTTCTAAAAATGCTGATAAATAGCAGTTTTGGTATGCATCTGAGTAAATGGCAGGTTTTTATTGCTAATTTTTTTCAAGATGGCAAATACTGACAAAATAGCTTTTGATATTGCTCTTGTCTATTAGCCCAGTGAAAGGTCGTAGAAGTAATATATTATAATATAATATTTTAGGAAAAGCCTTTTATAATCAGCCACAGACTGTGAATGAGTCATTGCTTGTATCTTTTCCATCTCAATTTTTCTAATTCTCTCTACTATGGCATTAACTTGTCAGCACTAGACCAACCACAAATGATTCTGCCTTCATCACATTGGTTGCCTGTCTGTTTTGGAATCGGTTTTAGATTTTTTAATAAGTTGGCTCCTCATCTTTCAAACTTGACGAGTTCTTTTAAACCCATTAGAAACTTTGAGATCCGAAAATAAAAAATTACTTGTCATGCGCAGAATGAGAAGCAAACAAAAAAGGTGATCAAGCTTTCAAAATAATAATGGGTCCAAAACCAGGGAATGGCTGCCTATAATCATTTGTGCGTTTAAATATTGTAATGTTGTGTTATCTGGATGTTATTTGTAATACTGGTTTATGTGTAAAGCACTTTGGTCAACTTCAGTTGTTTTATTGTGCTAATATAATGTAATATAATGTAAATAATAATATAATATAATCAATATTATATGTAAGCATATAATGTGTGTGCATAAAATGTTATATTTGGCCTGGAAGAATGAACTTGACTTCATTAGGTTGTCTATTTCTATTGTCTATCATATGCTATTGTGTCTCCTCACAATGAATCATTTAATAGTGGTGTTGATGACATATTTTAGTAA